TAGCTTGGTCTAAGATGCTGACAGTTTCCCAGCTGAAACTATGGTTAAGTCTGTCCATGTAGATTATCACCAGACATACAATCAGCAGTAAACAATACCCTAATCAAACAGAGAGCAAACCCCATCCCATTCTAGCATTGAAGATGTTACCTAGCCAGGTAACGAAACGTTTGCAAGAAAACCACCAAGCTCAGAGGACCCCAAGGACTCCACAGTTCAACCCTGAGCTACACATATTCTCTTCTATTGCTAGTCACCTCCAGATTGGACTACTGTAATGTGCTCTACATGGGGCTGCCCTTGAAGAATATCCAGAAGCTTCAACTGGTGCAGAATGCGACAGCACAGGTAGTTCTGTGTGCTCCTAGAAGAGCACACGTTACACCTCTGCTTCACAAGTTGCATTGGCTGTCGGTTTGCTTCCCAATTCAAGGTGTTAGTTTGGATCTTTAAAGCCCTTCATGGCATGGGGCCGGGTTATCTGAGGGACTGCCTCTCCCCGATCATGTCAGCCTACCCCATTAGATCAGTCAGGGAAGGTATGCTATGCATTTTACCTTTAACGGATTTTTATTATTTGGGAGGGGGCTGAATAAGTAATGATGTGTTTTCATTTACTCTTATAGGTGAAAATTGCAACCAGAAAGATTGCTGATGCCTTTGCTATCTCTGGACCATTCAACGTCCAGTTTCTCATCAGGGGAAATGATGTGCTGGTGAGGCCTTTTTGAATGTAGAAAATAGTAGATCATCATAATAAATGGCACATTTTCCAAGAAGACCTCTTTTTCTTCGTGCACACCTGGCAAAAAACAACCAAGGCTGTTGCTGCTGTTTTCTGCACAGCACAAGCCAGCGCAAGGCCTATAATACCTGCCTTGTTTGATGTCACATGGGTGTACAGAATGTGCCATTGATACTCTTTGTCAGTCACTGTTCTAGAAGGCATTTTGTGGTACAATTTTGAGAGAACAGCTCTGTTTGCCCACATTATACAGTAATTTGAGAAGAAAGCAAGCCCTGTAGAATTGCCGTCTGTCAGCAAGCACGTTAGCTCAGCACTTGGCTTAAATCAGATCAGTACTAAATAAGATTTGTAAGAATGTTATAAGCGACTCATCTTATTGGCCTGGCACAAGTCTGACTCTGCAATATACAGAGCTTGCTATTTTGCTACCTTGGGTTATTATGGATAGCTCAAAAACAAATAGAATAGAAGGAAATGTAAAGAGGATATTTGTCTTCCAAGTATTCTTGCTTACAGAATGGTTCATTCCTACCTACTACTATCTTAGATACAATATTAATTGTAGGAATGGAGAGGGAACAATGTCAGGACTGCAAGAGCTAGAGAGGGGGAATTTAGTATTTCTACTTCTCCATGATTTTAATGAAACTTACCCTTACTCCAGGTATTATACAGTAGCTATCAGTAGATAAGCATTCCAGGTGCCATTAACAGAGGAAGTTTTTTTGTCAGGATGAGAACAGATTCTGTCTGCCCCTGACCTTAATCCTTCTTAGCTTTTTCCCAACCTACAGTTAGTATATATATATATATTTAAAATATGCTTGTTGGCTGAAGCCAGCTGTTAATATTGCATTTGGTTTGTTCCACCACCCTCATCCAGGATATCTTCCCCTAAAGTCCAGAAAAGCAATTTAGCTGCTGTCACACCCACTCTCACTATGGATATGCTGAAGGCCCACTTCAATCAGACAATTCCACTCCTCTGCCCCACTACAATAAGATCATGCCATCAGTTGGAAAAACAAAACAAAAATAAACGTATGCTATTACATGTATTATTGGTAGGCCGGTATAATACCTTCCATTGTATACAAAGAGAGCTGTTTTCACAAACACCTGATCTTGCTTGAACCTAGCAAGCTGAAACTTCAGAGTGATCATGGTGAGGCCAAAGTTTTCAGTGTGGTTCACCTTATGACTCAGTTCTAGTCCTGTCTCACCCCCAGTCCTTTGATAATCCTTCCTTCACCCTTTTATTGTTACATACTTCATTTATTCATCTTCTAATCTTGTCATGTTTGTTGGAAGATGTAATTTGTATAGATTTGGGAAATAATAACCAAGCTGGAAAATGTTTTTTCAGTTTTGATTAACAAATTGAAGACCATTTGTGACTATCTTGAATGAACGTGGTCTCAGAAAATGCTGAGAATTTGATAAGCTTTTCTTCATGTTATCATATGTATCTATTGTGGATGTAAGTAAATACTGTCTTTTCACTATGTGTGTAGGCAAGAGGACAGAGAATGATAGAGTTAATATTCTAATAATGGCTAGAATGTTTAAGCTTATAAATAGTTATGACTATAAAGGGGGTATTTATCTTTCTGCAAAATCAATATATGGGTAAGTGTTAAAGATTTTTCCCCTATCTCTCCTGTAGGTGATAGAGTGTAACTTGCGAGCATCACGGTCTATCCCATTTGTATCCAAGTCCCTTGGCCTGGATTTCATTGATGTGGCCACTAAAGTAATGACTGGGGAACAAATCCTTGAGTCCACCCTTCCTGCACTGACAAACCCCATGATTCCATCAAATTATGTGGGCATTAAGGTATGTGTGGAGTGATGTTGTAGAACAATTAGCCAGTTGTGGCTTATAAATGTAACTTTATAAAGTTAAATTATTTTTATCCATTCATTTAACTGGGGCTGGGGGAGCTTCAGTTCTCAAGAGAAATAGGTAAAATAGCTCTCCCTATCAGAATGCAATGTGCTGATTATTAAAGTACCACGTTAAAAGCTACAATCAGACCTCCAAATCAAATGCATATTAACAAAGTTTGTACATTGGAACAAAGGGTAAGCTTAATGAATAGTTTATTACATTTGGAAGATGGATAACTCAGTTTCCCTATAAACAGGTTAGCCTTCACTCTTCTTAGTAAAATTGCCTCTATGTACATGAAGCAGGTGTGCATAATGAATGCCCCAATGCATAATGTATAATACAGTACACATTCAAGACACTTTGCATTTTAGCTGAGAGCTAATGACTGAACACACCATGTCATGAAATGTTTGGTAGATCACTCTATATAGTTTTCTTTGTGGATCGAAGCAGCAGTTCACTTTGGAACTCACAAATTGTTCAAGTTGGTCTCAAAAGTTAAATGTTCAGGTTTAGGCTACTATCTTGTTTAGGTTCATGGAGGATTTGAAAGCTTTAGAGAATATCTGATGGGCTCCTTTCAGTAAATTATTAGCCCTAGTTTTTTCAAGCTTAACCCCAACCTTGAGAAAAGGGCCAATTTCTCCCTGACTACTCCCCACTTTAAAATAGGTATTGTAATATCTCATTGATTTGCTATAGTGATTTACAAGACATCCTTCTATTCTGGAGTCCTTGGGGTTCTCTGAGCTTGGTTGTTTTCTTGCCAATGTTTCGTTACCCAGCTAGGTAACATCATCACCTAGCTGGATAACAAAACGTTGGCAAGAAAATAACCAAGCTCAGAGAACCCCAAGGACTCCACTGTTCAACCCTGAGCTACATATATTCTCTTCTGTTGATCCTTCTATTCTAAACAAAATCTTTTTTAGGAATCCAAAAATGCTTGAAAATGTCTCTAGCAATAATAATTGTTAAAATGTCAGAAATAATTAAAAAGTTCTGAAGAAGTCCTATGGGAGTGATAAAACCTTTTGAATCATAAATACTGTACGTTATTATGAATTAATTTTATCTTCTCCTGCGATGCTTTGATGAACACCCCAATCATATCTTCCTTCCAGTTTGGAGTTGTTTTCCCATTAGAGAAAAGCAGCTGCCCCCAGAACATCTTGCCAGAAGGCAGACTTATCAAAAGCTGAAAAGTTCGTGATTTCTTTCCATCTCTTATCATGGCCACAAAATGGGAGATCTGTCACAATTGCTTTTCTGGGATAGATTAGCTTGGCCGCTATGTGCTCCTCTTTTCCTCCCTGCCTGTTACTGTGTCATTCAAAGTGGTAGCAAATGGAGGGAAAGGGCCTGCAAGAATACCTTCAGAAATTGATATAGGCGATACCAAAGAAGAGTCAGATCTTGGGTAAATCATGTATTTTGCTCTGTACCAATATTCTGAATCTTATAATCACAGTCATGGCAGGTCAGCCATATTACTGCTCTTTGGTTATCCACCATGGAATGATGCTAGTGCCCATTACGCATCTGTGAGACAGTTTGGGTTACTTTATAAATCTCTCTCTTTCCATCTCTCTCTCTCTCTCTCTCTCTCTCTCTCTCTCTCTCTCACACACACACACACACGGATAGATAGACAGTGTTTTCCATTATTATGGATTGATGTAAGGTGGGAGAGTGCAACCAGGATTTAATGCCAGGACCATTTCCCTGCCACCCCCTTTTTTTCTAGCATTTGCTAGCAATGGCATCATCTGCTATCCATTCAGAATTTCTCATTGTCTCTAAGTGCAATCTCTTTGATATTTGAGGCAAAAATGGATTTGCCCAGCACTATTATATTGTAAATTATTCTTGTTGGAACACAAAGTATGCTGGGGAGGCTTGATATTCAGTAGATGACTACAACTCCTGAGTATTATGAAATCAGCCTTGCTGGTGAAGATGAAAACTGCCAGAGCTCCTATAGCTACCAAGGCTATAGTTGTCCTGTCATAAACAGTCCTTTGAAGTCTATACGATACTTAACATTTACCGCCAGACCCGTTAGTGTGTCAGCCTTGGCTTCTGAGTGCAACACTCACTCATTTTTTGTCACAAAAAATGGAAGAACCCCCACAAGTGCAATAAGTTAGACAGTTATCAACTTGCTATGTCAAATATTAACCTGAATATGTTATTTCATTGGGAGCCTCTCATCTAAAAATTAGATAAATGCCTTATTAAAAGTCTCATGTTCTTCCTGTAATGTTATTTTATTTGAATTCTAGAAAGTCCTTGGAAAAATTCCACACTGCTCTTTGCTTAAATATGTGTTATATAACTTACAGTAGGAGAGATTTGGGGATATTTTCATCAAATCTATGATTATAGAACTCATGATATCTTATTCTCCCCACCTTGAACAATCAAAAGTGGACATATGAATACTTTTAAAAACAGTTTGCAAACTACCAATAAAATAAGAAATAACGAGATATGCAAGAATTGCTTCTCTTTGCTTGCTTTCTGGCTGGGATAACAAAAATGAGATGGGGGTCAAGCACATATCAATCCATACTGCAGCCTGGGTGGATTACATTCATTTTAATGGGACACCAATTATGAAACCCTGTTTTAGAAAAATCAAGGTTATTTATATCACAAATGTAATTTGCAGACACCTTGTAATCTTTTATTGCAAGGGTAAGCAACCTATGCCTCCCAGGCTGCATGTGAGCCCTAAATCTCATTTTTTGGTCACCCTTAGAGCGCTCTTGTTGCACCACCAAAATAGGGATTAGCAAAATTTAAAAAATAAAAAACTTCCCCCTCAGCTCCTCCCCCCGAGAAAATAGAACATTTTGGCTATACCAGCATGTGTGATACAGCCTCACCTTGCATTATTATCCTGCTTGTTATCATCTTTCCCATTCCACCAAAATGTCAAATCAGGTTCTGGTCACCAAATAGTTGCCCACTTCTATCTTGCTGCTACATGTTTTTGGAGAATTAATGTCACAAATTAATTCACATTTCTCTTTCATTTTCCAGGCTCCAATGTTCTCCTGGCCCCGCCTGAGAGATGTTGACCCTGTTCTACGATGTGAAATGGCATCCACTGGGGAGGTACCAACTTTTATGATGTTTTCTCACAAAGGACAATAATTTCTATTGACCATAACTCTTGGATCAGCATATCCAGGAAATGATTCTTGGAGAATAGGTCACCTTTACATGATACTACATTAGTGATGTTTTTATCATTAAGTTGCTATGTGTAGTGAATCAATCTTTGAAAAGAGAAAAAAAAATAGAACTTTTATTTTTTTCATTTGAAGACAGCCTGTCACATGAAAAAATATCAAACTTATTATCTGGTAGAATGTAGCTTCTTTGACCACTGGATGCCCCCCTTCATTCGTGTCTGAGTCCCATCTCTTTGCAGTAGTTCTTCCAAAAAGATAGACATTGTTTCTCTCTTCTTCTCCCCTCACCCCCAGCACACAGAAGGGTACCAGGTTCCAGTAAACATTTTAGAATGACAGACAGAATATTTTATGAAATATTTCTTGACACCACAGAATATGCAGCCTTCAAAATTCCCATTGATGTAAAGTCACAGAGACTACATCAAGTTTTAGAACATTAATATTTGGTGATCTTGGATGTGGAAGTGACATCAGGGTAACAAAATCTGGGAGACATATTTATGGCTACTTTGTTAAAATCATGATGGAAAAATAATATGGGAAAAGAACTCTATGTATCCTACGTGGCTGCAGTGTATTTTTTCCCTGTTGCTAGATTCCAAAACATGTAACTTCAGCATGATTCCATATTTTACTTGTTTTCGGCCTTTTCTTTTATGGTGCCGAATATGCTTGAGCCAGAAGCAATCTACACTTACAGCAATACTAGTACCTGTCTATAGTCTAGGACTGCAGATGGTGTAAAATCAGCCAAGGTAGATGTTTATCATGCTACCCAAAAATAGATCACGGACTTCATCTGTCTAGTCTAAGCTATGGTAAACAAGTTCAGTATCTGTGCTGAATATGGTGCCATAGCTATACAGCATCAACATATAGTGGTCCCTCTGATTTACATGCAAGGATATGTACTGAATCAGAAGGAAGCTTTTGCATAACTCTACCCTTATTATTTTAGTAAACTTCCTTCAAAGAGAAAAATTATTTGAGCCTCGTATTGACATACGCATATGTGTCTGCATTATGCATACAGTCTCAGAAATAGGCACAGTTTATATTTCTCCCTGAGGAATTTTCTATAGTTGCCAACATAGCTATGATTAGGCCTGGCTTGAGTGACTATGGTGATTACATTTATATGGGAATTAGTTTTAAGTCAATAAGAACTGATGAAATGTTATAAATAATTTAGAGTATATTGTAAATTGAAATGAAGAGATCATTATATTGACCTTTATGATACTAAACACATTTATGTCCAAGTGCTTCAAATACATGATAAACACAGTCCTATTCAATAACAGATTAGTTCCAAAAGGGTATATAGGATTGCAATATAATTGTAGTGAATTTAATTGAATAACAATGTCCACTTTTCACATATAAAGGCCACATGAAATTATAATATGGTATAGCTAATACTAGAACATGTCCTATATCTTTCAAGGATTTTAGTATTATCACTATCACTCTGCTGTTGAGATTGTACTCAGTCACAACTGCAGCAAATTTTGCTTTGAGGCTAGTTAATGGAGAGAGAAAAGCTGATTGTCCTTCTCACTTTTTGAAGGGGCTTGATTTCATCAGAAAGAAAAGAAAAAGGGAATAATATTTTAGCCAGGGGGATGAAGATTAGTTTTCTAAGTGTTAGATAGTGAGAAAGAATATTTTAGTCATAAAGGAGAGATTATTAACTTTTATGAGTTAGAAAGATCCATATTCACAATTGCCATAAAATAGGAAAATTGTGAAGGTCTTTCTTGCCAGTGAATAGAAGGTAATAACTCTCCACTGGTAAAACAGTCACTTTATTCTACAAATGCATTTTGAACGCATGGATATGAATATTCTATAGAAATATAGAACTTCAATTCAAATAGGAATTTCCAACCGCTTATAAGTGCCAATAACAGCAGCTTAAACTTTTGAAATAATGTTTCCTTTCCCCATCTCGGTATTTAATATACAAGTTGGATCAATTCTATTCTGAAAGATGCATAGAAGAGAACTTAATTATTGGAGCCCATTATATTGAAGCTTATTTTTTCTGGGTTTGATTTAGCATATTATATCCACTAAGCCATCATGGTTTAAAAGGTGTGGTTTATAGTTTAGTGCAATACATGAACCTGATATGTTCATATAGAAGGGCAATTTGATGTAGAATTTTGCAAGCTAGAACAGCTCCAGCAGTGAAGCTCTCGTTTTGTTTTATTTAGCGTGTTACCTAGAGCGTGGCACTTCTTTGTTTCTCTAGCCCCATTCTACTGGTTTAACAATGTCTGGTCCCTACTTCTTTCTCTTCCCAAGACACTGAAACTGTGAAGGCAGCTCAGGACTTCTCATGATTTTGGAAAGAAAACCTATGAAACACTATTGATAGAATACCTAATTTGGAGATATGGCCATGATTTGTGAAATGCTTGCATGTTATCAGAAGAATATGATGTGCTGTCTAAAGCATTCGTGCTTGGCTTTCAAAAGTGAATCATGCCTCTAATTATTCCCTCATAAAGAGATACATTAGCAGGAGCTGCTGCTGCTTTCATCATGGTGGGATTGATTTGTTATTCTCTTTTCATCAATTGATTGCAAAACAATAACTGTAGTAAAATTCAGATTCTATCAACTAATAACAAAAACAATGAAGGATAACTCCACATATCATAGACTATATAACTTGGAAAGGAACTTAAATATCATCAGTTGGACTATTTTATCAAGCACTTTTTCAAAATGCACAGAAGCTGACATTGGGTACCAACTTTGCCATTTTTCTGATTCCTTATGCATATTACATCTTTGATTTTCTGTGACCTGTATCATCGTTTAAATTCTCAGCCACTCGTCCTATAAGTCTAGCATGTTAAGTTATATGCAAAATGAATCTCATTCCTCTATTTCCAAATTACCCTTTCTGTGTGTTGTATTGAGTTGAAGTAGCTTCTCAAATAATCAAGAAATGACTACACTCTCTTGCTAAGCTAAGCAGTCATGCATTCTCATCGCAGGCAATATCATTCATTTATGGGCCCAGAGAAGCATTTATAACCCTCACTGTTATTTAAGCATTAAGTAGTATCAATGTTCTGTGGAATGTATTCATGCTTATGAACCAGAAGCTGTGTTTGGCATCCACATCATTCATACCAGGATCTGTTTATGTTGCTCCATGGTGTGCTGTTTGAGCGTAAAATATTCCTTATTCCTTCATTATTGCTTAATTAAAATATAAGATTCATCTCTGCTGATCTGCCATTTTCCTGGTTGTTTCAAGAGCTACAAAGAGGAGAAAAGAAGAAAAATGACCCCTTTTAAAAAATGTACCCTCATTTTTGTTTCAAGGCCCTTGATCAAACTATGTTCTTTCTCTCTTTTGGCCCTCTTTTTCTGTTTTTCCCTGATATCCAGGTGGCTAGCTTTGGAGGAAACCTTCACTCGGCCTTCCTGAAAGCAATGCTCTCTACAGGATTTAAGTTACCACAAAAGGGAATTCTGCTTGGAATCCAGGTGAGCTGCTGCAGCTTTGATAGGGGAGCAAAGACATGTCTGGTTGTAAGAAGAAAGAGATCAAGCTACTATAGTTCTGGTCCATGTCATTGCTATGTCCTGTTGCTGCATCAATATTTTTAACCTGTGTGAAAAACTATTTTTCAAATATGCTTTGCCATGAAATATTCCTGCCTGTCATTTCTATATTCACTGTGTTACATTTTTGAGCAAAGAACTATTTTCATCAAATTCTGAGAAGTACACAATTCAAATAATATATACCAATCTATGGATAGTGCAGGAACTGACTTAGGGCAACCTGCTTAAAAAGTATGGAGCAGATCTCATCCTTGAAAGTTCTAAGTGCTTCTTGTAAGAAAGGGCCCATAGTTCAGTGAATAGAACGCATGCTTGTAATGTCCTAGTTAACCTAGGGAGAAGTGAGAAACAGAGAGCGAGAGAAAGCTTAATCTCTCTGAAACATCATGTATTAGCTCCAGCTCAGGGAAGATATATTTGGCTTATTATCAAATGTTTCAATTATTTCATACAATAGAGTTACATAGGTTTCCTTCTGCATTTTTGTAGCTATGGTTGTTCAAATGGAAGCCTTTTCTACCCAGGCAAATCTAAATCCTATTAGTTTTAGCATACTAAATAGTCTGGTGATACACAGCAGATACCAAAAGTTTGCGTTATTAAGAGCAATAGCTCCCCTGCATATTCTCACTGATCATGTCATCTAAGACAATTTGGCATACATATTTGAATGAAACCTGTGAATCTTCATTTTGGAAAATAAAAGTAGTCCTCACCCCCCACGGACCTTACAATCATGCCCATCCTTGTCTTCCTGCAATGCTTTTTCACTGCCTCAGGGTAATTACAAGCTGCAGAAGATACAGAAGAAGGGTGATACATTAATAAATCTCCTCAAGGCCTCTGTGTCTGTTTCCCAAATGATCAGTCACTGGATCTGAGATTGGAAAATGCTAGGGGTCTCATAAAAACAATTGATGGCCTTTTACAATCCCCCTGCTGTGCTCGTAATAAGCTTATACCCTGCATAAAGTCAATAAGAAAATAATTAAAAATAATACTGACTTCCCAGTCTTGAGTGATTATTGTAGACAGCAAGAAAAGATATGAGAATTAGGCCCCCAACTTTTAGCAACAGGAAGCTGACCCGAGAGAAGAGTGAAAACAAGCAAACAAAAGGGGTCAAATACCTTCTCAGGGATTATAAAATAACAATTCTAGTGCAATGAGTAAATCCTCTCCATTTATTTATTCCTCTGAGAAACAGGGAACTGTAGTGGGTAAAGAACTGGATTCAACTAGCCAATCACCAATACAAATGCCTTTGAGCACTACCTTATAAAATTAAACTGGTTTAAAAATCATTCCCACCCCTGAAAGAATAAGCTCAGGAAATCTGCCTGGCAATTAATTCATCCTTTAAATGAATTATGCTGTCACCCAACCTTGATTCAATTGGATATTTCTCTCAAGCAAAATAGTTCATTATATGAGTCCCTGCTGTTCACTTTGGGGTCATTCAATACTCTACAAATGGGCTAGAAGCAATTCTTATCACTATAAGCTCTGTTGCTCCAGCTGTTGAGTTCTGCCACGTATTACGGTGTGCTCCACAGAGCAGATGCTGCTGCCCAAATAATAGTGGTATATCAGTCATTATGAAGGTGCTGTGCTTGACCTGTTGATAGAGGATGCCCAGTCAAATTGCTTGCCCTTTTGGCTAATCCCCTAGTGATGATTAATGAGCACTGCATCTACTCTGCATGCTGAAAGTATAGGTCTATCTAGAAAAGTCATAAGGTCATGGAAAGTAGAAATAAGTGTCAGTGTGTGAAATCAACTACATCATTAACTCGCTTTTTTACTATGTCGTTTTTCTTCATTTAACGGGTCATGTTCAGTGGTGGATGCCTCAGGAAAATAAAGGTGAATCCAACTTTAAGGCAGATGAAATTTGATTTTTCTTAAAAGAACATACACTCAAGCATATTTTAGAATAGAAATGGATAGGTCAGTAAAACTAATGGTAGACTGAATAACTTGTCAGACAGAATTCTGCTAAAATAATAATGAATATAAACATAAATAATGAATATAAATATGAACCCAAGATTTCTGATTACTTAAGTTCTCTATGTCCTGCAAGTAGACTGAGCAGAGTCCATTTGAGTTGGGCGGCTAATGAATTTAAATAAATAAATAAATAAATAAATTTTTGAGGAGGAGGAGGAAGACTATTCCTGTGGCTGCTAGGGATCAGATGAGAATGACCGAAGCAAGAATGATAGATGCGAGTTGGGTAGGTTAGCTTTACAATATCCATCAGTCATTATTGTGACCAATTTCATTACAGTGGACAATGGAATATCCTTTCCACTTGTCTCTCTTACAGTGACGAATATTTGATTTCCTCTCAAATCTTTTTGACTACAACTAAAAGCAAAATAATTAGGAGTATTGGCCAGGTCAGGGAGGCTCCCTTGTATACTTTACATAGGAGCAAGTTGAGCACAAGATTTGCTGGGACCAGACATGGAGATAGCTTTTGCCTTACTGTGTCAGGCATCAAGTGACAGGATAATGCATGGGAGGAGAGAGAGTACATTGCGACGTGTGCTCTGTAAGTGCATATTTACAGCAAAAACACATTAATGCTTTGTCCTAATTTGCTATAAGCGTGGGCAGTAAATTCAGTTAGATTGGGAAGACATTCCCAAATTTCAGTGGGCAAAGATAGCACTTTATTTCCCAAAATAATGCTATACTAATTTCTAACAGAAGGTTCCAGTGATCTTTTAGATCAGGGGTCCCAAACTCTTCAGCTCTTCGACACCTTTATGAAGTTTCTGATTGTTCCTTGACCTCCAAACTTTTATTATATGAAAATAATTGAATAAATACTACTTTAGCTAATAGTACTATGAACAGCAGCAACAACATTGATCCCTTGGATGGTCCCACTGACCCTTCGGGGACCATATTGACCACTATGGAGAAGCCTGGCTTAGATAGAAAGAAGGTGGGGGAAAACATAATGCAAATAAAGTAGCTTTGGCTGGTACCTGGCATTTTTAAAAACATACCAGTTGACTAGTTCTTTTTATTCCCTTTCCTAAATGGACTATTTAGTAAGGTTTATTGAAGACATGCATCTGTCTTTTCCCTGTGGTACAGTAATGCCAGATGAACATGCTTACAACATGCAGGAAATACTTTATTTTTAAACCTTGACTAACTAAGATCTATTCCTTAATCACCTGACATATAGAGAATGTAAAGGCTGGAAGAGATTTTGGAGATTAACTAGTACAATCTCTTGCCCAATGCAATGCAGTATATGGTCGAACTTCTGGACAGTCGTGGTCTGTCACATCTTTTGTTAGGCATGCTAGGTGTGATAATATTACCATGGGAACCAAATAGTGAGCTTGTTGCTTCTGAGTACGATACCATGCAGAGAAATGCTCTGAACTGATTTTATAATGCTTGCATCTGAATTTTAAAAAAGACTAAAGTCTGAGGCAGATTGAGAAGAGACACAGAGGGCTGTAACGATGTGGAAGATACTCCATTGCCTGTCTTCGTAGGAATGTGATTTGAGGACCAGTGGCCTTTGTAATCCACTGCATATTTGTAAACAACCAAATATTACAAAACGCCAATAAGCTTCCAAGGAAATCAGACTTTACACGCCACTCTCTTGGCATGCTTCAGTGCTTGCAGCAGCAAGGTGTGCATCACCTTAAAGGATATTAGAGGTAGAAATCATATACTCTTCTCTCTGCTACATGGAGGATATGGTTCTTGTCATCTTCTATCTTACTCAGAAGTCAGTTATGAGGCTTAATTTGTACAGGATTTTGCACCGCTTCCATGACTACATTATAGTCATTTGAGGAGAGTGTACTAATCTTAGTGCCCAGGTTTGTTAATCAGGCATTATATTCATATCATTTCCAGGGACCCTTTATTTTATTTAGTTCTCATTAGTAAAAACCAGGACTCTTCTCCTAACTAGTCTGCTTTTAAAAGGTGTTGTTGGCCCCCAATTTACATCAGTATCATGACGGTGGGGGATGGAGGAGTTCCAAATAAGATTTTAAAAAACACCTCTGGCTTGTAAAGGGACTAAATCTGTGGTGCGGGAAAGAAAGGATTAGGTTAGGCCACCTTCCCATCCGTGAGCAGGCCTCTGATACAAGCTGCAGCCTTAACAGCTGGTTTAGAAAAAGAAACATAAGGCTGAAGGAGATATAATCACGAATCACTCCATTAACTAGACTCTTTAGTCCTTGAGAAAAAATAGCTAAATGATTTCAGGACAAAATATAGTTGGAAGTGCACAAAGATGGATTTGTTGATTAATCTGTGCAGATTTATTCTGAGTGTAGGAAAAAAAATATTTTGATTTCTGTTCAGACCTGCTTGATTTCATATTCAACTTACAGTAAAAGTTCTCTGAACAAGTGCAGTAGGAAAAGCCTCCGCTGCTTTTAGTACTAACTGAACTGGCATAGCTCCATAAAAAACAAAATCAGCTGAGGAGCCTCTATTCATAGGATAATTATACAAGTATGAAAAGCACATTGAAGGAAATGAGAAAATTCATTCTAAAATAGAACCCCAGTAGTTTGCAGTTCTAAGCCAAGTTGATACATCTCACTTTTTAGTAGTGAATGGTTTCTACTATAGATACTTCGATCAGTCTTGGCATCTAGGACAGCTCAGATGACAGCTGTTCTCTCTCTCTCTCTCTCTCTCTCTCTCTCTTTTTGAGGAGGACCTGTTTTGTAAGTGTTCAGTAATGTTTGATGGAAGTTTATCATTCTTTTGTGAAAGCCCAGACCAGAAGGCAGAGCGATTCCAAAGTTGGGAAGCCGCCAGCTCTGTCAAGTTGGATATTTATATTTTCCCCTTTGTACAGAGAGCAGAAATGACTTCTCAGGAAGTGACCCTTGAAGCTACAGTTGGACTCATTTTCCTTTACAAATTCCTTGCTATATTTGTTAGGGTTTTTCAGTGTAAACCTGTACCAGGAAAAGCAAATCCAGAAATCTAACTAGCAGAATAAATAGTTTTCTGAAATCCTGACTTTTCATTCGAAGGTCAACATCTGCTGCCTTTGATCTGATGATTATGAGGCTCTGAACAATAGCAGAAAGCTATCACTAAACAGCAGAATTAATTAACTGAATAAAAAATAATCTTGATGATGATGATGATGACAATAATAAATGTCAATGTTGTATTTCTAAGGTAGTTAAATATGCAACCACCGTTCTTGTGGAGGAGGTCCTGGGTGCCCTCTAACCCTAACCTCCTACCCTGTATTTGCACCACTGCCTTCTCATTTCCTCACCAGCCATTTTCCACACCACTTTACTATTGTCTCCTTCACCAGGTAGTGCAAACAACAGTGGCTAAAAAAATGGCCTCTTGGGGCAACTGGGGTTAACAGGTACATAAATTAGGACAAAATGTACAGAGACTGTCTGACGTTATAAGCCATTGTAATGGTACATGGCTATGAACTTTTCTATCCTAAAAAGGGGGCAGACTGTCCTACTAACATAAACAGTAAAGGTTTTTCTGTTTTTTTACTAATCTGCATATTCCTGTTACACAGCCTGCTTCTCTTGGAACTTCCATCTTAAAATCTAGTTCATTTTTAGCCAGCTTACGCTCTCAACTTTGTCTAAAAAGTAAGTTTCTAGATATTACTACAAAGGAGAGAAACCTATTCTTTGTTAGTTTCTACTAATGTTTTGGAATTACATTTGGGCTTTCACATGCTATAATCTCTCTTCTTGCCCTTCTGCCCATTTTTCTCTCCTCTTCCTCCTTTCCTCAAGCCCCAGGGGTTGATGGGTAGAGGATTGGCTACAGAATTATGAATTTTCCTGAACAAGTGACTAAGCAAAGCTTGTTAAAGTGTATTGATGCAAACTTGCTCAAATTACATAATTTACCCTGACCGTAATATTATGCTTTCTTCCCTGATTGCTGAATTTGACATTTTGTTGTCTCGTAATCCATACTCCCTGGCTATAAGGTCCTGAAAGGCAGAGTACTGTGTTGAGACCCTGGGGGACCCAGCTTATTGATGAGATATGGACTTCAGTTGCCAAGCAAACAGTGTCTTTGAAGCTTGTTAATCTACAATCACTTGCCAACTACAATAAAGCTCATGCCCTTTATAGCTTTCTGTGACATTCACTTTTAAGAAGAGGCAGATGTCTAAGACTAACATAGAGCTTCGCTATGCAGCCTATGATAACAGCAGAGATTTCCTGTATATTGTGAATGATCCGCACTGCAAACACTGGTTTGTCTGTGGAACAAAGGTGTTCTGCTTTAATAGCCCGATTCTCATTTTTCTTTCAGCGTTCCTTCCGCCCAAAATTTCTTTATGAAGCAGAACAGCTGCATAATCAAGGTTTTAAGGTAGGTTGTTTGTTGTATGAGAGCTCAGGAAGGGCCATGCTTCTTAGTTAAGGGCTCATCCAGAATGATTCTGCACTGCTCCCTCATCTCCTCAACAGATAGGTGAAATATAAAATAGAGCCTGGAAACCTTGGGTAAGGATAAGGCATATGGGCAAGTAAGAATGACCAGATTTTGGATCTATTTTGTGAGTAGCTTCAAACATCTGGTTTGACAAGACTTCCCTGATTTTGGTGAAATCCAAACCTCCCCGCTCAGACATGTGAAATTATCACATGGGCTAAATATGTGTCTTCTAAGCCAGATGTTCCAGGTAGGTGTTTAGAAACATGCAAACTGTAACTAGAAAAAGGAAAAGAAACCTGTTCTGTTCTGTGCATAGGGATTTTTATCAATTTTCTGGAACTTCAGGTCTCCCAATGTGTACATATCATGATTTTTTTATTATTAAGAATAAGAAAAAACATATTGGCTAGACTAAAAAATTAGCCCTTCTGTCATTTATTTCTATAAGTAGTAATAGAGTACTGTGAACATTCAGATGACTAGTAGCTAAGTCCTTTTCTGACCCCAGTCAATACTTCCTTTTCACCTTTAAATAAGAGTATGTTGTATCAGCTATTATACTGCCAGCTGGCAAAGTCCAAAACAACATATGCCAAAGTTACTTGGAAGCTGTTTTGTTAAACACAAATTCTTGATTTGGCTCTTCCAAGTCCACTTGTTAAGTACTGGCATACAGATCTTGGTTCCACAGGCATAAGGGACAATACGCTACCTCTTCCTCATCTTCGGATTATATTCCTTTTACTAAGGTAAATGGAATCACAGGACCTTCCTGCTCATTGCTGAGTTAAAGTGATACCCACCTGGCAGCAAACTATATAATGGCATAAACTTTGCTGTCCCCACTGTCAATCCATGCCCTGAATCTATTGCCTCTTTGGGTTTGCCACAAATTGGTTGTGTCTTGTTCCACATCTACAGAGCTGTTAAGCAAAGTGATCAGTTTCACAGTCCTCCCCTTTTCAGAATGTCAACAACTGGTGGGAATCCATCCAACAATCACAACAGTGATGCAACAAGGCAGCTTGGGGAGGTGGCAAGTTCTGACAGGTGGCTCTACCTGCGCACTCTTTCCAAACCAGGCATCTCTGCTGAACTCCTGCAAGCCTGTTGAGTGGGCTTCTGGAGGTTCAGATTTTTAAAACATCAGTCTCCTCCTCTTTCAAAACCTAGTGTTTCTCTAGGTGGGGGTACGAAATAAATGATGCTGGAGAAGAGTACAAGAAGACAGTGGGGGATGGTAAGCAGGCCTCCACTAGCCTGAAGTAATCAATAGACCCCAGGCTGACCCTCCTCTCAGGGATCACCAGACTGGTTGTCAACAACATGGACAATGAATGAAGCACTTCAACTTGGCCATACCATGAAACTGCCATTGGTTGTTCTCAGCTTAAGGGGATAGCACCATCACAGCTAAAGATGTTATGGCTGTCTTATGTATGGGCTGAGAGAACATGGCAAAAGATGTTGCCAGAGACAGGGATGTAAGTGGGAAAAAGCCCACAAATATTTTTTAGGCATTTAAGCTGCACAGCTTAAAACATGTAAACAGCACAGATGAGAAGTGGGGACAAGCACAATAGTAATTCCTCACTGCATCACCTTTTCTTGTAGGCAGCAGCTATCTGTAGTAAAGAATCTTCTCCATCCATGTTACCCTCTGCACAAGGAGGAATATGGAAAGCAGCAGAGCCATCAGATTGCTTCTTACTTTATTGTCTCACACAAAGGGTCTATGTGATTTAAAACCTCTTGACAACAGCTGTAGCTACCCTGATTCTTTCTCTCTACTTTCTCTCTTGTTGGATGGTGCCTGTTAGAGAAGATACAGCACAGATGACAGATATCCTTTACCACTTGGCATCCTGCCAGATCCTGGAACAGAAAAACTATCCATGAGATCTTCCAGTGTGCTCTGCCCAACAGCAAGAAATGCTTTCTGCTGAAGCATTTGTGCTGTTCTGCTACTATGTACTTGCTAAACTTGTAATTGAAACTCTTGTGGGATAGCTGGCTATTCACATTGCTTTAGGACCGAACCATATGCATAACCAAAATACATGTAATATTTAGAACTCTCTACTTCATGTGTAGCAAGAAGTCAATAAGCAGGTCTACAAGTTTCAGGGCCTTTGGATAGTAGAGTGTTCATCTTTTTGTGTACAAATTTACAAGTAGGAGGACAGCAATCTGCTAAAACCATACTAATCCATATGAGGGCATCCTTTTATGTTACCCAAGTTCCAGACTCATAAGAATATAAGTGACAAAGCAGTACTTTATTACTAAATAAAGGAATAAAGAAGGAATTCTTAGTCATTGCTAAACCTCAATCCTGTGGAATTTTTCTGGATTATTTTCCCTTAGGTCTTAGGCTGCTGTGTGCTGCAACTTGTCACCCAGTTTCTAACTGGAAGAGAGAGAAATTATGCTAAATGGGTGGGGTCTATGATATCCCACACCACGTTGCAAGAACTTTTTTTAAAAAGGCAGCAAGTGGTTCACACCCACACAGGGTGCTGTCATTGAAATTCAGTAGGAAGCATGTCAGTGATTTTCAGTTGCAATTAGGTGCAATCTCCTACAGTACCATCGACTTAAATGGAAGGTTTTTTCCTTTATCATTACACAGTATATACACACGCATACATGTATGTATATAAATCTCTCTCTGCAGCTTTATGCTACGCCAGCAACTTCAAAGTGGCTCAACAGTAATGGCATACCTGTGTCTCCAGTCGCATGGCCATCGCAGGAGAACTCAGACCCCGCGCTTCCCCCAGTCAGACAGTAAGAGATCCAACAAATTGGTAACATTCACAGCTGGGCAAAACATTGATTAGAATCAACAGTGAGAAAAAATAATGTGTAAGCTTTTGATTTTTTTAGAACTCTTCATCAGAGAAATGGTGTCAACATAACTCGGTTTGTATGAGCTGACCTGATTTCTAGAAAACTTGGGTTTAGATTTTTTTCCTCATTGGCCAATATGGCTATCATTGCTTTTCATGTGCCTTGCCCCCCCCCCCATTTTACTATCATATCATAATTATTGGGCATTCTGAAGTCTTATTACCAAATATTACCCTGCTTAGGAAGCTTAGGTGGAATCAAGACCCTCAGAAGCACTGTTTAGATTTTTTTCCTCATTGGCCAATATGGCTATCATTGCTTTTCATGTGCCTTGCCCCCCCCCCCATTTTACTATCATATCATAATTATTGGGCATTCTGAAGTCTTATTACCAAATATTACCCTGCTTAGGAAGCTTAGGTGGAATCAAGACCCTCAGAAGCACTGAACTCTGTATCCCAGTTAACTCTGCAGGAGTCACAACTTTCTCCCTTTCCTGCCATTCTGATGGATCTATCATCCTGACAGTACGGATTAGTTTAATTTAAGCTGCTGTTGTGCCTGTAGTGGTTACAGCTAAGGCACAATCTTTATGGAGCTGAATATGGTCTAATGAGTTTGACACATCTTTCATATACTTTAACCCACTGCTGTGCTTATGTCTCATACTGTTTGCTTTTAAATGTGAACATCTTGAGTTGGACTGTAAGCAGACAGTTTCAAGGTGCTTTAATGCCTTTGGATCTAGCTTTAGAGTTGAAAGAATTACCAACTGAGTACAAAGACCTGTACTGATGGAATACTAAAAAATGCATTTGTTTTGATTTACTGGAGAAAAATCTATTTTAGCCCTTAACATCATATATGCTTCATTTCAGGCTCATAAAGGATGGGAGCATAGACTTGGTAATTAACCTTCCCACCAACAACACAAAGTTTGTGCGTGACAATTACCTAATCCGTAGGACAGCTGTTGACAGTGGAATCTCTCTCCTCACTAATTTACAGGTATTTCTCATAGTCCCATTGAATCAGTTATTGCATCCTGAAGAGTAAGGCCTATGTGAAAGCCTTAATTAATGTTTGGCAGCAAACTATTTTAAAAAGGGGCCAGCTCATTGATTTAGGATGGTGGTTTTTTTTTTTTTTTTTTGGTTATTTGTGTAGTATTTCACTGTCTTGTCACTATTACAGTTTTAAAACCATTTTTATTTAATAACGAGCAAGCTGCTGATTTTCAGAAAACTCATATACATAAGAGCTAATACATGGCAAAGAGATTGAAATCTGATCCAGAGATTTCGGGTTCATATCTCTTCTCTGCT